GGGGGGGGGGGGAAATGCTTTTTAGGATATAGGAAAATAATCAGATTAAGAGAATAGAAAATGTATATTCCTTAACTGGGAAAGTCACTTAATCACAGGTTTAAAAGAGGCAGCTTCCTCTCTGTTGTTTCTTATTAATGCATATGTCCACTCTGAATTTGTTCCCACACAACAAAACCTCTCAGAACTATGTGAGGAGGATGAAGCACAGAGGTTTTTTTTTAATGCAGTAGCTGTACCTGTATATTTTACCTACTCAAAATGAACTGCAAGGTCTAAGAAAGCAAATGTTGCTTTCTTTATAAAAATCCTGATTCCTAAAAAGAAACTGGTATACATGTGTGATACAAAGAGTGAATTCATGGAATTCATCCTTGGTGTCCCCACCACGGAACACAGCACAGTGTCTGTACTGCTAAGATAAAGAGAACCCTTTTTCCCTTTGGGGGCTTATAAACATTCCTCTTAAAAATTCCTTAACTTAGTTGCACAGTCTATGAAGAGCTCTCCCAAAGGTTGGTCTAATTCTCCATGATGATGATCTCCTCTGGCCAGGAAAACAATTAGAGTGGTGCAAGACTGAATATTGCTATCATCTTCTAGCATTTTCTGAGAGCCTGGAGCCAGGCCACCTTCAGGGAGCATCCGGACTTCATCTTTCCACTGATGAATGTCTTTTGGGTATTTGGGGTGATCATGTCTGTTTTAATGATGTTTGAAAGGCTTTCCCACTTTCTAATACCACTTTGATTCCTTTAACATACCCTTTGAGAAGTTCCACTTCAGGACTCAGTCATTCTAACTCCAACCTCTTCTGTCACAGTTCATAAGAGAGAGAGGGGATTTTTAAAATAACAGTGATTTTCATCCTCTGAGAAAATGACAGAACAATGACAGGCTGGACAGCAATTTTAATCTCTTCCAAGTATAATTTTGATATTTTAAATGTCAGGTTCTGGGCTGTAATTTTCATTTGTTTTGCAGCTTTTGCTTCTCTTTTGCTGCGCTTTGAAAGAAACCTGAAAATGGACTGCCCTTTCTGTCTGATTCATCAACTCTGTTTCATTCCACTTTTTCAAATGCCGGTTCCCAGAACTGACACCAGCTGCCCATAGGAGCATTGCACCATAAATGTCTCAACACTTAAACTGCATAGCCTTGTTAGTTTTGGCCATTGCATGGGATAATTTTTTTTTCTAAGTTTCCTTTTAACTCCAACCATTCAAAAGCTTGCTAGTGCCAAATACCCTCACACAATCAAGATTTGCAATTCCCGACCTATTGATGGTGGCAATGATTTATTGCTTAATTGGAAACATTTTGCCTATAATTCTGTGTGCTCTGCATTGATCTTTTAAATATTGTGCCATTAGGCCTGTCTGATGTGGCTCAGTGGTTAGAGTGTTGACCCTCATGCCAAAGGGTCCCCAGTTTTATTCCCAATCAAGGGCACGTACTGGGGTTGCAGGTTTGATCCCTGGCCCCACACCATAGGCAACTAATTGATGTTTCTCATGTCAGTGTTTCTCTCTCTCTCTGTCTCTCTCTCTCTCTCTCCTTCCTTCTTTCCCTTCTAGTCTCTCTAAAAAAAATTAATGGAAAAAATATCCTCAGGTGAGGATTAACAAAAAACTATATATATAATTATGCCATTAATATTATGCTAATCTATTAAATATTGAGATATGAATGGTATCATAAATTAGGAACAATATTAATTACATAAAATTGAGTCCAAAATAGCAAAATAGAGAACTATTTGAGGATCTCTTACTTATTCCTTCATATATTCAGCTTTTAGCTTTGTTTTCTTTTCTAATTTGGATGTATTCCAGTGTGAATTTTACGTGCATGTACTTCAACTGAAAGAGAAAAAAAAATAGAGCAATTTTCTGCAAATCTGCCAAAGTCATTTCATCTTGTTGGAACTTGAAAATATATGGTCTTGATAGATTGCCAAGGATTGAGGCTGATGTCTTCTAATGAAAAAACCAAGCAATTTATCACAGGAACGTACTGGTTCAGACATTGTTCCACTTGCGAAATAAGAGTTAAAGCTATTTATTTGCATTTAAGTAAAGGAAGAAGAGAAGACTTCAGTTTAAACATGTAATTTCTAAAGTGTTAAAACACACACACACACACACACACACACACACACACACACACACACAACTACCAAAAAGTATTTTCCAGATGTGGAACTTTCCATCGTAGTATGTGACTGAGACTGTGACAGAAACACTATTTTATGCTCTGGCATGAACATAGTCAGAAGAGGTGTGTGGTATGGCAGCATGCAGACTTACTTTCCCTGCAATTTATTTTTCACTCCTTCGGTGAATGTTTTTTGAATACTTACTGTGAGCCCAGCCTTGAAGAAGGCACTCTGAGAGAGAGGCAAAAACCCCAGAAGCTATAGACCTTGCCTTTATGATGCTGGCATCTTCTCTTCCAGTCCTCTGAATGTTCACTTGCCCTTAGTCAGTCCTTTGCCTCTTCAATTCTGATCTATACTCATTACCCTGCCATCCCATAGCTATAAATACTATCAATAAATATCCTGGTGACTCTCAAATTTGTATTTCTAGCCTGACCTTCAGACTTATATTCAATTACCTACTCAACATCTTCACTTGCATGTTTATTAGCATCTCAAACTTAACTTGTCCAAAAATTTACTCTTGCATTCCCCCCAAATTGACTCTAATTCTTTCTCAGCTCGATAAACATCAGTAGCATTCAGGTAAGAAACCTAAGAGTTATCTTTGATTCTTTCCCTCTTGTGTCATATCTTCCATCAACTTTCATCTCTTTTCTTCTACTTCCAGTCTTGTCCCACTACAACACATCTTCAAAGAATCAGGAAAAAAAAATTTTTTTTTTAAAGACATAAATCAGATCATGTTACTATTTAATCTAAATCTTAATGGTTTGCCCTAGCCAGTGTGGCTAAGTGGTTAGAGGGTCTGCCCCCGCACCGAAGGGCTGCAGGCTTCGTTCCCAATCAAGGGCATGTACCTCAGTTGCAGGTTCACTCCCTGCCCCCCGTCAGGGTGCATGCAGGAGGCAACCAGTTGATGTCTCTTTCTCTCTCTCTCTTTCTCCCCACTTCCCTCCCAACACCCTCTCTTCCACTCTCTCTGAAAAGCAATAGAAAAGTTATCCTCAGGTAAGGATTAAAAAAATTATTTTCCCCAATGGTTTCCCAATATACTCAATAAAATCTAAAGCCCTTATTATAAGGCCCTTTATGATCTTTCCAGATCTTCCTTCCTGGTTCTAGGTAAATTCATAAAATGACCAATTTAATAAGTGGCCAAATGGCTTTCGGTGAATTTCCCACTCCCAACTGTAGCCATATTCTCCATATGGTTAACTGGCTTATGAAAAATGCTGACAATGGCAAGGCATTATTTGGTCAAATTCACAGTTCTTATAGTACCGATTATACATAAGAGCTATGGAAACAGAGAACAAGGGAGCTGTTAGAATGATATGGGCTGGATCAAGGAAGGCTTCTTAGGACAGACAAGTTTGAGGTTTGTACTTAATGGATGGCTTGTTCAGAAATTAATTTAAAGGGAAGAGGTTAGAGGGAGCAAGAAGGCAAAGACGCATGTGTAGGATTGAAGAGATGACAGGTCTGACTGCCTACTAACTCCACAATAACGAATGATTTGTGTGGAGGGGAAGTGGAAGGAAGACCAGAGGATTAGCCCTAAGAAGTTCACAGTCTTTTAGATAACATGAAACTTCTGTAGACTCTTGCTCAGGATTAAAACTGTATTTTCAAAGAAGCATTCATTAATACTAGAAATATGGGCCAAGCATTCTATTAGCCATTGGGTATGTGGTGATGAAAAAAAATACAGTGCCCTGGTGAAGCTTTCTGTCCTAGAAATTTATCAGAGTTTTATCACCTTAAAAAGCAATTTTTCTCTACTGAATATACAAAAAAAAAAAAAAAAAGAAAGACTTTGGGTACTTAAAATGCAAATTCTGGATCTTACCACCACCTCTTCCCCTCATCCAGCATTTCTCATTCTATATTTCTTTTATGGAGCTGAGGCATTTAATAGTTAACAAATATTCTAAGTGATTTTTATTATAGATGGCCTTTCAACCACACTTGAGAAACACAAAGAAGAGAGTAGAAAACTCTTTCTACCCAGGAGTTTATGAGAATGCTAAGAACTTTATGTTCAGATGAACTCCATCTTTAAAAAACAACAACACTGACACATTTTTATTTTTATTTTTTTAATCTCAGGACCAAAAGCCAAAATGAAATTTATAGTACTTGTCACCATTGGGCTAACTTTGCTGCTAGGAGCCCAAACCATGCCTGCAAATCGCCTCTCTTGCTACAGAAAGATACTGAAAGATCGCAACTGTCACAGCCTTCCAGAAGGAGTAGCTCACCTGACAAAGATTGATGTAAATGTCCAGGATCATTTCTGGGATGGAAAGGGATGTGAGATGATCTGTTACTGCAACTTCAGCGAACTTCTCTGCTGCCCAAAGTAAGGAAATATAATCACAAAATCTATTGCTATGAAATGTATGTATAATGATTCATTTTTGACACCTTTATAATGAGTTTGCTGAAAATAATCACCCTTTTTTAGTAAAATCCTGTTCAAATCTCAGCTATTTTTTAGAATCATCACCATTGTGTATGGAACTAAATGTTTCATTTAAGAAACAGAATTTGGCAGATTTTAATAAAACTAAATGAAATTCAGAAAATTAATAACACTCCAATCTTATTAAAATCTAAATCCGCTATCAGATTTTTACCACAAAAAAATCTACCAGCAGCAGCAGTCAACTTCAAGGTTGATATTTTAAACCAGTTTGAAAACTAATAAGAGGCTTTAGATAAAAGATCTCAGTGAACAGGATCAAGTAATTAACTTGACAGAAAAATTTGGTAATGGTCCAAGAAAAAATTTCCAGCTCTATGTATGAATTAACCACAAATAAACTAAATAAAAGTTTCCCACTGACTTGAAAAGTATTTTAAATATAATATAATAGTAGATAAGTCAATAAATATTTATAACTCTTGATTTTAAAATCATCTTCCCTTGGTTACTGAGGAATCTTTCAAACACTATGATCTTGGCTATTTCATACCTAAATTAGCTTTTTCAAATTACTTTTCACATGTCATTGTATTTTCATTTTTCTAAGAAACCTGCAAGGCAGAAAGGGCAGATTTAACCATCTGATCAAGGAAAAGATACAGAGAGGTAAAATGACCAGCACTATCCCACATGACTAGTTAATACCAGCACTGACACTAGAACTCAAGTCTTCTTATTTGGACCACATATTTTTTTATATCAAGCCTGTTGGTTCTTAATGTGTGGTTCTCAGAACAGCTTCAATATCACCTGCACTCTTGTTAAAATGAATATCTGCTCGGCCTGCATGGCTCAGTGAAGGTCATGGTTCGATTCCCAGTCAGGGTTGTGGGCTCGATCCCCAGTGAGGAGCTTGCAGGAGGCAGCCGATCAATGACTCTCATTATTGGTGTTTCTAGCTCTCTCTCCGTCTCCTTTCCTCTCTCTGAAATCAATAAAGACATACTTAAAAATATATATATGCATCAGACCTACTAAATCAGGAACAATGGAGATGACACATAGCAATTATGGCTTAACAAGCTCCCTAGGTGATTCTGATGTATGACAAAGTTTCAGAATCACTGTCCTAAATGATGATGTCAATAAACCATAACCATACTACCTTACACCTATATACAACTTTATATTATTTCATGTATTTTTATACATTACCTTATATGATCTTTCCAACAAGAGCAGAGTAGCTTAACATTTCTCCTTTCCTGGTAAAAGCTAGAAATTTATTTACTGACTTTCTAAGAAATTTTTAATCTTCTGTATTTTACCTGTAGATTTAAATTTTATGGTCCATCCCACTCATATCAGAGGAATGATTTTTTTTTTTTTTTTGGTATGATTATAAGGTTTGGAAATCACTTAATCTTTCCTTTTTTTAAAATAAAGAAATGATAGCATATTATCAATGGCAAATGGAGGGCAAGTAGAATTGATTACCTCCTTGGTCTTTGTTGCTCCTGTGACAAGTCTTCCCACTCACTCGCTTTGTACTTTATTCACCTAAAAAGAATAATCATATCTGAATCCTCCAAATCACTGTCCATTTTTAACCCAGAAAAGACAATATATACCTTAGCTTATAGCTAGATTTAACTGATGTTCTGTTTTCTTTCAGAGATGTCTTCTTTGGACCAAAGATCTCTTTTGTGATTCCTTGCAACAGTCACTGAGAATCTTCATGTGTTCTGGAGAGCACCATTGCTAATTTCCCAGAAACTGCACTATATCAAGTATAACTGCATTTCTAGTTTCTATCCAGTGCAATAAAGCACAGATTCTATAAATTCTTGCTTGTCTAAGACAAGTAAACGTGTGTTAAATAAGTAGTAATAAAAATTAATTCAATTTAATTCTTCTCTGTGGACATTGTTGGCACTGGTTAAAAATATTGGCTAGAAATTTTTCATCTATGAGGTGTTAACTACATTAATAAAAGAATTCTGTTCCCCAAATGAACAGCCATAATCTTGGCTCAAAGATCGAGAACTTTCAGTTGTTAGTTGACAGTTATTGACCATCTAATACTTAATGGAAAGAATCGTATATAAATTGAGATTCTTAGAAGAGAAACTAAAAGTTTTCTAGTAAAAGGAGAAAAGGAAGCCAATATTTGAGTACATATTATGTATGCCAACTATTTTAAGTACATTTTCATTTTACTCTCTTAAAAAGACCAACAACGAAACCTTCAAGGTAAGTATTCTTAAACCCATTTTTCAGATGCAGACTCAAGTTTAAGATATTTGCTAAAAATCAAGGTGAGAATTTGAAGAGTCCTAATTCCAAAGCCCATACACTACACACACTCATACGTAAAAGCTGTACCCTTAAAACTATGATGCATATCCCCAAAGTATCAATTTTTCTTGAGTCCAGCACACATTAAAAAACTACACGTAATGGAAGAGAATTAAAAAGTCAGATGAATTTTAAAAGTAAATAAAAAAGATGCCTTCAAAGATATTTTCTGATTGTTAGAGACAGCTTTGGACTATCCCCCATATCTTAGGAGGTATGCATTGACTAGTGGTCATTGGAGGTGATTTCAGAAAGTTCTTCATGCAGGAAAAATTTATTAAATGCTTGCTAAGTATCAGCTATCATTAAGGTTTGCACACAGAGTAATGAATAAGATGGACTTGCCTCTTGGAAACTGTATTTTAACAAAAGTAGAATAATTATACACGAATTATTATTTATAAATGTGAAGCCTGCTACAGAGGAGAGGTACAGGATGCTATGCAAAGTATGGTTTGAGGAGCACATTACCTGTAGTAAACTTAGGAGATATTTTGTGTATAAAAGTGACATTATTTAATGGAAATAGATCCTTGGAAGTTCCTAATCTGTTTCCGAAGATCACACCCAGAACAGCATCTGGCATCTATTCAACGCTCAATAAGTGTTACTATGCTGGACCAAACAATTTTGAGGTAGTCAGAATTCAGTTCCTCTTAAAATCTGCACAAACCTAAGTCACAACCTGTTTTTAAATAGTATCACCTCCTACAAAAATGCCTGAAGTGGAATTGTTTTTAAAAATCAAATTTGTTGTTTTATCAATAGAATGTGATTTGCTTTGGCTTTTTTCCTTCACTGAATTGACTGCTATTGGAATTGGACTAACTCAATAATGAACATCTTATGTCCTTTCTGGAATGGCGTATAGAATAGGTAAATTAAGAAAGTCATCAGTAAACCAGTTTAATTTTCTACTTGGTACAAACTCTCTTTAAGGGAGAAAAATTAAGTGGCAAAGGTTCAGTGTCTCAGCATAAGGGCATATATGAGGCAGCAATGGCTGTTGAGTAAGTGTTCCCTTACGATTACAATCAAAACCTGATGAGAAAAATAGCATTTGAAAACGAGCTAAGTATTTAATAAGTGGCATTTTATGATTATGATCATTCTTCAACATATTCTGTCTTGTCTAGAAATAACTTTTAATATGACATTCCATTACATTCTTTCAGAAACGGATGTGTTATAGAACCACACATTCTTCTTTATACTACGAAACAAATGTAAGAGCATGAATGTTGACACACCTTACTCAACTTTTTCTGACTAGGTCAAAATGCTTTTAAAAGCAAACATTTCATTCAGTCATATTAATGAGTAGATCCTTTAATTTTTTCAATAGCTTTTAGCTATAAGAAAAGACAACTAAGTGTTTATAAAAATTCACCATTGTTGCCGGGATGGGAGTGGCTCAGCGGTGGAGCATCGACCTAGGATCCAGGAGATCGCAGTTCGATTCCTGCCCAGGGCAGAGGCCCGGGTTGCGGGCTCCATCCCCAGTGGGGGTGGGGGGTGCGGGAGGCGGCCGATCAGTGACTCCCTCATCACTGATGTTTCTCTCTCTCTCTCCCTCTCCCTTCCTCTCTCTGAAATCAATAAAGATATATATTTTTTTAAATTACTATTGTTCTAAATACTGTCTTACAACAAAATAAGGTAGATACTGCCATGGTCCCTGTTCTATGGCCTAAGTGCCAAGGTTTAGAGAGATGAAGTAGCTTATTTAGGGTTACATTATTAGAGCAGTAGAGCCAGGTTTTAAAATATGGTCAGTTTTCCTCTAGCATCTAGAGTCTTAACAGCTCCATTATTTTATAGCATCATCTCATGTATTTTCTTTTTAGAAAAGCAAACCTTTACTTGTATGGGACACATGAGTTTACATTTCACATAGCTCATATATGCCAAATGCTTACTAAAAACCAATTTCTGTAATTTTTCTTTTATTTTCTATATCCTTGTTCTTACTGTGAATCCCATGGTGCTGAGCACAAAGCTGACAGTAATACTTACTAATAGCTCATGTCTTCTTGGTAACATTTCTCTTTTCCTCATCATAAACCACAAGGATTCCTTGAATATTTTTGTTTGTTAGGATTAGGTACTGATCCTAAAGGACTATTAGATAATGGGAAGCAACATAGAGAACTAAAACAATGAGCAACAACTATTGGGAAGGGAAGGGAAGACCGATAAGAACATTCACAAATCATTTTGCAACTTTAAATTCCTTATAATTGCCAACAAGTACACTTGAGTTCTTTCCATAACAAATCATTTTTGCAAAATATCATCACATGTGCTTTTAAAATGTAAATAATTCTATTTATAAAGCACTACAGGCTTTAAAATAACCTTCCCAAAAGGAAAAAAAAGTCAAATTCACATATTTATAAATCATCTTGCATTAACAGCCTAAGACTAAACTTTTCTCTCAAAGATTTTAAGAGAAACTGATATTAGAAAGTTATAGTAAATTGACACTGAATTAGCTTTGGCAATTTACTTATATAGAATGGTATCTCCATAATGTGCTCATCTCTGTAGAGTGGTATATCTAGAGAGAAATGTATGGCATATATGTAGCCCATATATACTGAGAATTTTACAAATAAAGATTGATGGGAAATTTTCAACACTAAAGAGTATATGGGATCTGTATTTCCAGAGGTTTAGAAGTCAAAAAAGAAATCTACTGGGTATTATGGGTAAAAAAACTGACTTGATACATTAAGTATGCATTAAAGGGACTACAAAAACACATACATATATATTCACATATATGATAATATAGTAGCAATTAATATGACTATTATTGAGGACTATAGTTGACCATGTAAATTATTAATGCAACTAGGACATGATATATAAATTAAAGTTTATAGCAACAACTTTCAGCTATAAAAAAACTATAAAAAATTCCATAATCTCAAAGGCATAAATTCTATAGTAAACAGGACTTACATTTGAAATACATATATATATTTCCTCTAGCATCTAGAGTCTTAACCGCTCCTTTATTTAATAGCATCATCTTATGTATTTTCTTTTTAGAAAAGTAAACCTTTACTTGTATAGGACACATGATTTTACATTTCAGGTAGCTCATATATGCCAAACGCTTACTAAAAAACAATTTCTGTGTTTATGTATATATGCAACACATTGCTTGACATTTTTTAAATTAACTCTATAAATGAATAAACAATAACATGATAAAAATTTATTTTTGAACCACCCTCACTTGCCTTGATATAATAATCTTGATTTTGCTACCCAAACTTTATGGAAATCCAGGTAAATAATAGCCAAGAAAGCTAGGGTGGCTACACTAATATCAGACAAAATAAATTTTAAACAAAAACACTCAATTCATAACAAGACATAAAAATTATAAACACATAGGTGTCAAACAACAGAGCCAGAAAATATATTAAAATATTGACAGATCCGAAAAGAGAAATACACAGTTCTATGGTAATAGTTAGAGGTCTCAACACCTTACCTTAAGTATAGAAAGACATCTAGACAGAAGATTAATAAGGAAATAAAGAACTTCAACAACACTATAATCCACCTACACCTAACATACACAGAACAATCCACCCAACAAAAGCAAAGTACATATTCTTCTCACATGCACATGGAGCATTCTTTAGGATTAGTCATAAAATAATTCTCCGTAAATTTAGAAAAACTGAAATCATACAAATTATTTCCTCTAACCATGGTGAAATGAAGCTAGAAATCAATAACAGAATAAACATTGAAATACCTACAAATATGTAGAAATTAAACAGTGTATCCTTACCAATGAGTGAGCCAAAGAAGAAATCACAAGGGAAATTACAAAATACCGTGAGATGAGTAAAAACAAAAACAAAACATACCAAAACTTATTGGATGTGGTGAAAGAAGTACTCAGAAGGAAATTCATAGCTGTAAACACCTACATTAAAATAGAAGAAAGATCTAAAATCAGCAACCTAACTTTACACCTTAAGAACCTAGGAAAAGAAGAGCAAATTTAATCCAAAGCCAGCAGAAGGAAGGAAATAATAAAAATGAGAACAGATTTAAATAAAATAGAGAATAAAAAAATAGAATAAATGAAATCTAATAAAAAATCAACCAAATTGACAAACCTTTAGCTAGGCTACTAAGAAAAACAGGAGACACAAAATAGTCATGTGCTGCTCAACAATAAGGCTATTTCCAAGAAATGTGCCATTAGGAGATTTTGTTGCTGTGCGAACATCATCAAGCACACTTACATAAACATAGATGTTATCGTCTACTGCACACCTAGGTATATGGCACAGCCTATTGCTCCTCGGCTGCAAGCCTGGACAGCATGTTACTTTGCAAAACAACATAACATTAAATAAAGCACAACAGAAAATGACGCCATCAAGAGATTCGGTAAACATGAAGCGTATGAGGCTGCTGCCAGCGTAACGCACCATACTGTTTTACAGACAACTTTTTCACTGTAAACTTGTTTTATAAGTAGAAAGAGTATATTCTAAAATAACAATAAAAATTATAG